TCGGAACCCACTGTTCGCGTCCGTCGGGAACCTAGAAGCAACGAGAGCTTCTTTGTTGGTCAGAGACCCACATTGCCTACTGGAGGGCTCAATGTTTTTGAAAATAGAGATTCTGCATATACTTGTCTATTTCTACCATCAAATTCTTGCAACGGTTCGCGGTACTATGAATACCAATCCGTTTATGTTATGAATCTGAAAATTTCACAGGTGAAACATGCGCCCGGAACACCTTCCAAGTCTTCCAATTGAAACCCTAGAGCGATTAAAGGTAATTATAGGAGAAACGTTGTTGTTTTCATCCGTCCGTTGGCCACCGCCTACTGTTAAACGCAAGACCGGCGCCGCACGGCTTCGGGAGACTGCAACGCCGAGCGTGGGGTTTGTTGCGACTTGCGGGCGCGCGTGGCCAAAACTGGGTTATGTAATTCTTCCCCTACTTGACTCTAAGCAAAGTTGAGGATTCTGAGATCAAAACAGATTGATGTGAGTGTAAATTTGTGGCATTATTTTCATCTAAGATCTGCGTTTACGAAACCGCCATACAACCCACAAAAATTCCGGCACAACCACTGAATGCTATCGGCTTAGCAAGAGTTCGTTGAAACATTGTAGAATGAATAGTACCGGTGTGTTTCCTCCTGTACGTTCACTTCAGAATTGAAACGACATTGTATCTTTTGGTGGCTCTTGACTTTTTTAAGAAAGGCTCCCCTCGAAGTCAAGAGGGCCATATCCGATGACTTTTTTGGGTGGGAGCCTTTCCCCCAGGGGGAGGGCTTGGTCAACCCTGTGTCCCACTCCCCCCCCCCCCCCCCCCCCCCCCCCCTCCCCCCAATTACCAAGACTCTGACTGCGTCTCTGCGTCGGTACGTTCATTGAGCACCGAGTATGCGTGCGTATCATCGCATGGTAGCTGAAAAAACCAGCTTAGATAGAATCGCTGTTAACGCTGTTAGAATCAAACTGCATTGCGCATGACATTGTTGTGACAGGTGACATGTGTTATGACAGGACATTTTTCACGCACTCGAAGTGAAACGGGATGAGAGCAAAATTACCGCGGATGTCGATGCACCCTAAGCCCAAATGACAGCAATGAAGTGAAACGGGTGAGGGTTGCTTTCCCTTCAGAGGCACTACAACTTGGAACAATGTCTCCCAGACGTGCAGTTGGCTTGTATTTCGTTTCTATTAAAAAGAGCGGGAAAAAGCGATTCTCAGCAGGAGGGCATCTGCCCAAGCGTAATTGCGGAAAGGCTGAAAACCATGCTGTTAACTTTTGCGCAGAATGAATATCAAAAGCACTTCACATGAATTCGTTCACATTAATATTTACACATGTTTTATCAACGAAATTTTGGTATATTGTGAACCTGCGCATAAATGGGCTATAATAGCTACATATATTATTGCCACTGGACATCATCCTTGTGAACGGATGAATAAATACAAGATGCACCAATTCAAATTCTAGTATACGAGAGAGCTGCAACTGCATCTTTTCAGCTTCACAAAACGACTGCCTTTATGAAAGCAGATGTAGTCTGCGAGGCTTCCATGCATGATTACTGTGGCTACGCACATAAGCTTTTAAAAGATATATAAGAATAGTACATACATACATACATACGTACATATATATATATATATATATATATATATATATATATATATACATATACAGCTGATAGCTATAACAATAGCAACGAAATCCAAAGAGTTTTTGGCCCTGTCCCCATGACGACTTCCGCGAATTTGTCCCCCCCCCCGAACATTCTCGGAAATCGCCACCCATGACCACCGTCCATTCCGTCCTTATGTTGAGTGCTTATCGACTGACAAAAAATCCTGGCATCATCGTCAGCCGGCGCAATGAACAGGCCACGTGACTTTGAAGTCACGTGCCGTGACGTAGGGCGAATACTTGGCCGTGATTGATGCTGACAAACGTGCTGACGACAGGTCGAGCGCGGCCCCAACAGCCCGTGAGAGAAATTAGAAAACTTCTCGCATTTGGTAGTTTGGCAGCAGATTCTTACTACCAGTGGTATTTTCAGATCTACCGGAATATATACCTTAACCAGACTGGTGTCATCAAAATCCCTCCACACGTGTTTGCATGATTCAGCCGATTGACGTAACCGGGGTACGCCTTCCTTAAAATGAACCAAATGTAGCACCGGTGGTGCACGCAGAAGGAGGGCACAAGAGGTATGAGCCCCCCCCCCCCACTCGAAACCCGTAGGTTACGACTTCCGGGGGCCCAGGAGAGCCCACTGGACCGATGACCAAGGACTCGATTGGAAGGCCTGAGGGCACGGAGGGCTAGAGGGAGTCGTCTTCAGGAGCGTGACCTGCGCGGACGGGCCTACAGATGGCATTCAGAGGATCCTTTGGGCCGTTCGAGGACCCCTGAGTCGATAAAGGTCCAGCACTGGGTCTGGCACTGGGTCTAGGACTGGCACTGACATTGGCGACTGAGTCTGGCGCCACCAGCACCGTACAATCGGTTCCGTGTTGGTATGGGCCTGAGGGCCCACTTTCAAAACAGCGAGCAAGCTGGGGCCAGCGATTTACACCGATCGGGGCCTCTGCATCTGTCAGGGACCCACAGTGCCTATCAAAGGGCCCTGTGATGGCAAGGAGTTCCGAGCCGACCAAGAACATTGCAAAATTAGGCCCGAAAGACAGGTACTGGTGCTCGCAGAAACCGACAATGGAGAACCTAATTGGAGGGCATAAGGGTCCGAATGGAAACGCTGGCTGTAGGTCACACATAGGATCTCGGCCCGCAGGACTTTGGCCTGAAGTATTAGACAGAGGGCCTCTTTTGCCATTTAAGGACCTCCTGAGATCTTGCAGGCGCTTATGCTGGCCAGGGACCACCAACACCGAACGGTTGACTACGTGTCGATTTGAACCCTAGTATCTATTTCCCAAGCAAGGACAAGGCCGGAACCCATAATTTGCATTGGTCTGGGTCCTTGAAACAATGATTAGGCCTCTGTACCGGTCATGGGTTCACGGTGCCGAACAGGGGGCAATGTGTCGGCAAAGGGCCCCGAGTCCATTATGGGCTTTGTTTCAGGAGGCCCGAAGAAGGGCCGAGTGGCCCTTCGGGACCAAAGATCAGGGCCCATTGGAGGGGTGAAGAGGCCAAGGGGCCAAAAGGACTCCCCATAGGTCACAGGTCACGACGAGGACGCCCCCCACACGTTGGGTCTCTGCGCCGATTGGGCACCCTTGGGACAGTGCAGACCTATCATACCAGCGTTCGAGCATGTAGCCTCGATCTTTGCCAGTTCAGTTCTAAAATGAATAGCGTGGCCGGATGAGTCCACATTGACAGGGAGAGCCCTTGGGTGCGCCTCTGGTGCATGTGCTGGGTATTTGACAAATAAGAAATATGGCGTGTGGAATAAGCTGCGCACTGTTCGCACTGTGCGTGTTCACTGTTGGAGCTTTTGTCATCCTCAGGCCTGATTTTATCAGCGGAACGTGAGCGTGCCCATTTGACTGTCGGCAGATGAAGTCGCATTTCCAGCAGCGACCTAAACGTCTGAACTGGCCCCGACGATCACTCGCTCACTACGCTAGGCGTGCCAGATCCTGCGGCATAGTCGGGACCTGCAGTACGTCCAGACCGAGAGTATCTTCAGCCACCAGCAACTCATCACTCAACTAAGCAACTCGGCCAGCGTTGTCTGGCCAGGGGCCGATGGAAGCATTTGATGTCTTCAATACTGCCGCACTGCGCTCTATCTACCGGAGGACCTATGCATTCGCCCAGCATGTCATGAAAGTCCCCTGCCTTCAAACAACATGCTATCAAGGTAAACGCATGGCTTGCCAGTTCCAGCTCGATGCTGGTACCATCCGTACGGCACTCCGGGTGCTGAAGGCGGCGATGAAGACCATGAACTCGCTGGAGTGCATCCGATCTCGCTTCTGCGTTAGTGAAATAATATTGCACGGTCGGTAGCAATATGATTTGGCCTGTTATCAAACGAGAAGTATCGTTGTTTATTGATTCACTGCATTCATCATGAATAGCCGAAAGGTTATGAACGTGGATTGTGATGCTTCCTTAGGCTGCATTTGGTTAATGATCAAGCAAGTCTTAACCAGCATTTGCTAGGCCAAGGTGCAGCAAACTAGCAGTATCCTTTGCCTCATGAAACTAGCAGCCGTCAGGGCCTAGCTCTGGTGAATAATCAGGCAGGCCCCAGTGTGCATTGACTTGGCTGTTCCTGTGAGATTGAGCCGCGCGAGTGTGCCTGGCCAGATTCGGGTCGGGAGCCCCTGCCGAGGAGCTTGGGGCACCTTATAAGCTTCTTGCGCCGTTATATCCGACTGATCCTCAAATATATTTCAGCCAGGAAGGTGGGAGATACGCCCGCACTCGGTTCGGTAGACCGTCATAGGCTACATCGATGCGACCATTTGGTCCCGTCGGGTGATCTGCCAAACTGGGGTCCAATCCAGATGCCAACTAAGGCACAGTAGTTCCATGGATTTGCTTCGGGCAGGTACTCCGGAGAGGGGCAGTTGTGATGCACAAATAAACTGATAACGGGGGGGGGGGGTGGGTTGCAGCTTTGTGTCCATCTATTTCCGAAGTCCTAAATAGTCCTTACGCCAAGTGCTTCTTTGGCGTAAAGCGCGATGGATCGTCCTCGAATAGCTTCCTTCCTGGGTCCTAAATTGCGGCCTCGGCTTTTGAAATACCTTTTAGCTTATGCATAACCTTAAACTTTTTATTCATTCATATTTACTTTCATCTTACTGAGTCATTTCACCCACCAAAAGTGTTGTAATTCGTGTGATCTCTCCTGTCCGTTGTCACGCGTGCGGCCGTCCCAACGTTGAAGGTGTACCTCCCAGTGACGTCACAAAGTGATTTTTGCTGAGAAGTGCGTTGTCGGGACGGTTTCACCAAGTATACATGGCCTTGACCTTGGCCGTTTTCGTCCACTAAAATTCGCTTTGACCATTTAGGATACTCGTGAGCATTCCGGCGTTTTCAATCGCGCTCGGGGGCGGCTCTGTTATAGGGCCCTGGGGGCGGCCGTTTGGTGGGTGGGCCGGTGGCATCATAAGTAAATTGAGCTTGACGCCAGACAGTGGCGACAACATTGTATTGGGCTCATTGTCGGTGAGTAGGCGGAGCAGTTGCTAATTGTGCGATGCAGGATCTGCTTTGATGATATTAATTGTATAGTTTATTTCGCGCCATCAGGGCAAGTTCATATCTTAGCACATACAGGTGTCTAACACAAACATAGAGCAAGAGAGCAGGCAAGACATCTCAGTGTTCAACCAGGTTTCGACGACCAGGTTCCGGGAGGCCCAGTGCTGTGAGGTCATACTCATGCTAGGCATGCACATGCGTTATGGCCATGGCATGCCACTTACCCCTTTTTCACTTCCATGCAATTTCTTAACAATGCTGCTCTCTGTATATGAGTCTTTGGATGACCAGCAGCAGCCAACTAGCTACTAACATGGGATGTGGTACAAGCTCGAGCTCTACATTGGTTATGGTTCCTCGTCCAGCATGGCGTTCTTACCAGCTTTTTATGTATGAGCGGTAGGCCATTCAAAGCCCTTAAAATGCCTGGTATACACTCATGTGGTTCTGCAGCTCATAACCATGCATGTTTGTGCAGTATTTCATGAGTAGTCAAATCAAAATGCCCCCATTTGCAAAGTGGACCTTAGCACAGCATATTTGTTCTATGCTACAAGGAAAGTATCAATCTGCATCTTTTGACTCACTAAGATTACTTGCCACTATATATTCTGGTCATTTTAACTCCACTGCTACTAGTCTGCAGCCACTGAGAGTGACATGAGTGGACTTGAAGTTAGACAGATGTAAAACTGCATATGGCTTTTGAGAATTAAAAATTATGTATACAGTCTTCTTTACATTAAACTGAATATCTCTGGTCATGAGAAATGTTTTGCACCTCTGAATCAACACTCCCCTTAAGCAAGGAAAAATAGGCCAGCACATTCACTGCACATTTCCCTGCATGACAACCAATTGTAATAGCTATAAATCACAAAGAAGCTCATCTATGTATACATTGAGCAGCAGTAGTGAGAGGTCTCTACCTTGATGCACACTATTCTGTGCAGAGAAAGGATCAGACATTATATGACCATTTAACTCCCATCCTTTGGCTTCTGTATCACCTGATAAGGACCTTAGCAAGTGACAAAGGAACACCACAACATCAGATAATGCTAAAGAGTTTGGAATGCATACTCTGTAGAATGCTTTGTTGGCATATATCAAACAAGCATAGACAGGACCACACATAGTGTCAAGCTCATTTTTATTCCTGAAGTGAAAGGGTCAGGTAAATTTGCTCCAGGCCCATTTTCATTTTGTGATAGTGGAGTACAAAATATTTTGCTTTATATCTCCACAGACCTCAAGTACAAAGCATTTTGGATACATAACACCAGCAAATGCCACTTGACACTTTCTCTAACAGTGGGCTGTTGTGTTCTTTTCCCTGCAGTTGTGTTGTTTGGTGGCCTGGCTTCATCAGCCAGCTGACCGAGCATGTCGCCGGTGAGCCTCAGCCGCCGCCGGCTGGCGCTGGTCGCCGCTGGTCTGCTGGTCTGCCTCATCATCGTGCTGCTGAGCTCTCGGGATGAGAGCACCGTCCGAGCGTCTGCGCTGCTCGACCAGCTCGAGTCGGCGCAGTGGCGGGACGCCGGCGCGCCGGCCACCGTCGACGACGAGGACCAGGAGGGGGAGCAGGCAGCGGCCGCGGCGGCAGCGGCCTGGTCTCCGGCGGCGGCCGCTCCGTGCCGTCGCAGAATTGAAGTGGGTGTCATTTTCACGAAGGCTGACCAGCATCCCAAGATGAAGACCAACCTGGTGCGCATGTTGCAGACAATAGCAGCGCACACACCAGATTGTGTCAACTTTAACATGTTCACCGACGAAAACAGCAAGGCAATCATCGGAACGGCGCTTTTGAAGGCGCGCCTGTCCGGGCGGTTTACGGTCAGTAAAGGCTGCTTCGCTCAACATTTGTAGGCCAGATTCATGTCAAATCCATAACCTGCATGTGTGCCATATTCTGAATAGGTGAAAGGGTGTCGAGACCAGCCAGCCCGGTCATTACCGCATGCGCTTCATGACGACAGGTGCAAATGCTTTCAGCATGTTGCTTGGCCCACTTTCATAACACAATAGGAGGGTTGTATCCTTTTATTCTGATCACCCAAGACGTTGCGCGTCCCTACGTGTATGCGCCTGCATAGCACAGACTTCTTTCCTTGGTCCCCCTGACCTGGTCGGTCTCCGCAGATCGCTCTCCTCATTTTTTTTTTTTTTTTTGACTTAATGATCTCAGGTTAGTACCACAGCGGAAGGCCGCCGGGGGATTCTTGGGAAGTTCTTTAGAAGACAGAACCTGAGAACGACCATTGGATTTCGCTTGGGCTGCAAGTATGCTTGAGCCTGTTGAGTTGCGTGAGAAGATGAGTTGCTGAACTCGTCTGCTGTCTATCCGTAGACTTTTTCTAGGCATGCTGATGATATATTCGGGATTCGATGACATGGGGGGGGGGAGCAGAGGTCAGGGGAATTCACGTAAAAGTAAACAAAATTCATCCTGAGACCCCGGGCAGAACTCCGCTCGTCTCCGCTGTTGATATATTTACTGGATATTGCTGTTCGATTAACTGAGGAAAGGTTTAATGCCGACCTCTTGGCAGGACCCGCGTGTTGAAAAACGTACTTCCATTTCAATTCCCACCATACCCACCGTACAAAGGGCCATTCCGTTTTGACTTGGAACATGGATTAGGGGAGTTTGCTCCAGAGTGGAAGACTATGGTCGGCATATAGGAGCAATTTGTAATAATTGGGGCAAGTTACAGGGGAAGTTAATGGAGGGGGGTATCTGGATCATGTGGTGAAAAAAATCTGAGGAAATCAAATTCACGGGGCAAAGCGGGGGGGGGGATAGGTCCGAAAAGTCAGGTTGGTAGGTCAGGGTCAAAAGAAGGGTGACAGGGTCCGCTGGTTTGATCTACTCTAGATAATTGTGTAAGGAGGGTGTGTGGATTAAACGCTTCATTCGGCAATTTTCAGTTACATAAAAGCTTCTTCAATGATCCTCTGATGGTGTTCCGCCGTGGAAATAACTCCAGAAATGAGTCCTCTGAAAAAACAGCATGCATGATCATGTATGGATCGAAGCCTGTTTGACGTCTTTAACTCTCCGTAGCGTCTTCTACAAATCAGCTGGAATGTTTCTTCCGCTCTTAACCTATATTAACATAACAGTAATCTCAGAATCATCTTCCAGCACGAGTTCACCTATACGAGGAAGCGGCATACTACACAGGCATAAACCACACAGGTGCACCTCCTGCTCGTTCGGCTCCCGGGTCAAATCTTCTGCGTGGTGCGGTCCCGACCCCGACGTGACCTATCACTTTAGAACCTTCGGTCGACCTCAGTTCCTGACCCACGTCATCTCCGCTGATCGGCTGATCGCAACATGAGGAAGACCTCAACTTGAACGGGCGATGACAGCTGATCGTAACAGCCTCTTAGTGCCCTCGACACCGACACGACACAACACTCACAAGCCGTAGCTTCAAAGCTGTGATATTCTCAGAATTGTATTCAGAGCTACAAAAAACGATAGACGAAATATCGTTGAAATTCGGGAAGTTGGGCGAGATCGATAAGTTGAGCTGGCATAAAATTACTTGGCTGCATTTCTATAGCTCCCCGCAGTTCGCGCTTGTGTCCACCGCGACGCCAAGCTCGTATCATCATGCGCTGCATAATTGTTTTGTATTTGTATTTGTGATATAGATATGCGTCAGAGTAGCTTATGTGCTTTTTAGCATTCAAACGACCTGGTACTTGGATGTGTATCATGGTCATGTTGGATTTGCGTGGACCAGGAAGTCTGTCGGTGTTTTGTGTCTTCCCATCTATGTGTTTTCGTAAGGCATGCACTTCTGATGAGACCCCACCCCCTTAGGTGACCAACCATGCCATCGCGCCAATGGCCGACCAGATGAAATCACTGATCGAGGTCATGCAGGAACACTTCGCTCCGCGCAAGGGCACCTACTACAACGACGTGCTGTTCTTCCTCACCACGACCATGCATCGCTCGCTGCCGCGGCTGAAGCGCGTCATCATGATGGACGTGGACATCAGCGTGCGCGCCGACCTCGCCCTGCTCGACGACCACTTCGAGCGGTTCTCGCCGGAGAACGTGATGGGCCTGAGCCTGGAGCTGTCGCCTGTGTACCGGCACGTGCTGGAGGCCCATCGGCGCGAGACTGGTAACCTGACGGCGGGCGGAGCGCCGCCGGCCGGCTTCCCTGGCCTCAACAGCGGCGTCGTGCTGCTGGACCTGGCGCGCATGCGCGCCTCGCGCCGCTACAACCAGCTGATGACCGAGCACGAGATCCGGCGGCGCACGGCCCGCTACCGCTTCAAGGGTCACCTGGGCGATCAGGACCTGTACACGCTGCTGGCACTGGACGAGCCGGAGCTGTTCTACGTGCTGCCGTGCGGCTGGAACCGGCAGCTCTGCACGTTCTGGCGCTCCGTATACGCCGACGTGTTCGACCAGTACTTCCGCTGCCCCGGCTCCATCAGCATCTACCACGGCAACTGCAAGGCGACCATCCCCACGGAAGGCGAGCGGCGGGCTTGAGCGAAGGCGACAATTCACACGATTTGGCCCCGTTGGGTGCTCCTTTGTTGGCAAGCGTGGGGTCGCGCCCCTGTTACATGGGTATGAGAATCTAGACTCGCGTGGCCACCTCCCACCACCTCCCTCAACCGTTAGTTCCTCAGTTCGTTGGCTTGTCTGCAGCCGCGCTGTGTGTATCCCGAGAAACCCGCCGGAAGCCTCTTGTGTTAGCTAAAGCCATGGCTGAAAGTGCCGTTATTTGTCGCTCCTAACAGCTCCATGTTAGTGAATAGGTTTCTCGCGTGTAGGCTGCTCGCGTCGGGTGTACAAAGGAATGGTTGACAGCGATCGAAAACGAAGTTCTGCGGGTGATCACAGCTGTTTGGTGGTGGGCTTGCCTCTTCATCCGTGCGATGTCTTTTAGTGTAAGTGATAAGCAGTCAATACCTTGACTGCGAGGCGGGGATCTGAGCGTGGCCCGAGTCCCAAAAAGTCGAATATTGCGGAGGGCTCACTCAGCGTGTGACACAGGTGTGGAGCAGCGTGCGTTTCTTACGGGGTACGCGGCGCACTCGTTTTTGGGAGAGGGCTTTCCTGGAGTACAAAATGCGTTCGGTTGTTGATGAACAGGATGGGGCTGGGACAGGTCCTCTGCGTTGAGTCCTCGAGGTTGACAAATACCGACGGTCGTCGCGGCCTGCCAGCCTACTTGTTAAACATGTGTGTAATGTTGACGTGGTCCACTTCTCCGGTTTTGGGTTCTGCACATATTTGCGACCATTTTGAGGCTTCTCATGGCATTGCGCTTAGTCGGTACACCCTGCCATGAAGTCGCTATTTCGAAACATTTTGAAACTTTGATCACGGCCCACCGAATGAAGGTTGATGTATGCCTACTTCATTTCTGATTCGATATTTTGTGCGGCAACAAGCTCCCTCTAAACCACAGAGATGAACATGCCCTTGCGGTGTTCCGACGTGCTTTTAATGGTATGTTGTCGGAGAATGTGAGTAGTGGCCTTTGCCAGTGATTTCTTCACGTCTCAGCCGTTTCAGTAGTCCCCCCCCCCCCCCCCCCCAGATGTCTGCATTAATGTGCAACTTCCCACGGGACTTTTCTTGTCGCGATGCGAATGGTGTGTTGTGTTTGTTTTTTCATTTCTGGCCAGTAGCGTTTTGATACTATATTTGATACAGTGGTGGTGCGTCGCTCACCTAGATGCAGGACGCGCGCAGCGCGGAAGAGACAGTCGATAGATGTGTGCTGTGTCCTCATTCTAAATGCTCGATCTTCAAGGCTCTGCTCGAGAAATATCGATGCTTTAAGTGACAAACCAATGAGGATCTGGGTTCGAGCTTATGGGAGGTCAAGAGCCAAACACTTCACCATAACCATGCCATTTGATTTCATCGATGTGCTTTCACGTGTGTGACGTCATGATTAGGCAGATCTTTGTGTATTGCACTTCAAACTTTGTTTACCATGGTTGATCTCGTGCCACTGCCATGCGGGTAATCGTGCCACTTCCTGTGTTTGTACGTTGACTTAATCAGGTGATTTGCTACTCAGGGTTGCCGGTCGGATTAATATACTGCGTGTTCGGAGCTTTGTTTCAGTGTTTCTACCACGTTGTGGGGTCGACGTTGAAAGGTTTAACGAGCAACAGAAATCGTCCAGTTTATCCTGACTGATTCACGGCCCACAGTGAAATAATGGCTTGCCTTTACAGTGGCCGCACGATACCACGTCCACGCAAAAGACCAAATGGAAAGCAGACGTCTGTGGCGCTAGAGGCGTATCTTTCGCGTGTCTGTAAGAACGATACCGCCTGGGCCCATGAGAGCTTGAGCTCGAAGCTCTTGCAGTTTCTGAAGTTGGCGAGGCGTGTATGTTTTTGATGACTGACATGTTAAAGGATGACCTTGATGGGTCGACTTCCGGGTAGATGCTAGTTGCTTCTGTTCTGAATATTCTGGTGCTGGCAAGTTCAACTCGGCCAGTAATTGTTTTGCCATACGGAGTTCTGCGTGCTTTGAACCCGCGTTTGACGTAGAAGCATGGCCTTGAGAGGTCAGAACTTATTACGGACGCTAGTTCTTTCTGTGGTAGATATTCTGATGCCGGCAAGTTGAAAATCCGACAGCATTTTTTTGGTGATATCGAGGTCCGGGCCTCAGCCCACGTTTGATGTTGAAAAGTGACATTGAGTGGTCAGAGCTATTGACGGATGCGGTTTGCTGTGCTTGTAAACATTTAGGTGTTTTGAGGTTTAAAATCGCCCAGTAGTTTTTTTTGTGGATATGGAGTTCCTTGTCCCTTGAGCCTGAATTAAACCTTGAAGGATGGCATGACGTTGAGAGGTGAGGGCTTTTTGGCGGGCGCTAGTTTTTTCTGTGGTGAACATTCTGGTGCTAGCAAGTTCAAATCTGCCAGTATTTTTTTTTTTGGTATGTTGGATTCCCCGTCCTGTAAGCCCACCTTTGACTTTGAGTAGTGACATTGAGAGATCAGGGCTTCTTGACGGAAACTGATTCTTGCGCTTGTAAATATTTTGATGTGTTCAGATTGAAAATTGGACGGTCATTTTTTGGTGATATGGAGTTCCTCATCCCTCGAGCCTGAGTTTGACCTTAAAGGGTGCCCTTTAAAGGCCATGACTTTCTGACGGACTCTAGTTCCTGCGCTTGCGAGCATTTTGATGTTTTCAGGTTTAAAACCAACCGGTAATTTTTTGGTGATATGGAGCTCCCGTCCTTTGAGACTGAATTTGACCTTAAAGAATGACCTTGACAGGTCAGGGCGTTCGGACCGATTCTAGTTCTTGCGCTTGTGAATGTTTTGATATTTGGAAGTTAAAAATCGGCCGGGAATTTGTTGGCGGTCAGCTGGTTTATTTGTTTGTGAATATGTTGTTGGCAGGCTTAGCATCGGCCGGTAATATTTTGGGTGATATTTATGGTGACGAAGTTCCTCATCTTTTGACCTTGCTTTTGATCTTGAAGGCCACATGACATTGCGAAATCAACGTCATTCTCTATGTTCTCGTGCCATAATTGAGGTTGGAACCATTTTCCGAGAAATTGGAGCTCTTTGCGGAATAAATCGCCGAACGTTTTCCGCCAGAGGGCTCGGCTTCGTCGCAGAAAATATGCTTGAGCCCGATCGAACTTGCTTTAGTGAACAAATAATTTGGAATGTTTTACAACCATTCGTGAACTCTACCCAATCATTCTTGATGCTTTGGTGAAAAATAGATTGCAGCTTAAAGAAACTTGGCTTAAATAGGCACAATGAAGATTAATATCACTGGCTTTAAAAAGGGGAGTTTTTGGGCATGTAGCTTTACGCAGGAGTCGGTGCATCCGATGGGTCTCGCGGGTGCGCAGGGGTGTCAACTACGGCCCAAACGCGTGCAATGTATGTTGTGTCGTGACATAATTACACGGTCGCTGCCGTTTTCCTTGCTTGCCGTTGACGTTTATGGACAAAAATGAGCCAGATTTACGTAACGTAACGGCAAACTGCCCTCTGGCTCGTTTCACGTCCGACATCATCAGCCGATTTGATACAGTCCTTTGCCTGATCTTAAGCCGGAGGCAGTTGCATTTCACCCGCATGTGACTGGCGAGGGGGGGAGTGTAGTATAAAATATGGCGGTAATAACGCACAGTTCACGCCTGCGCCATACAGTCGTATGTCAAAATTTGCCTTCATTTTTGGGAGCCGCCGACTGCTTAGATCTTGAGCATGTGTATGCATACAAAGTACACAGCAAGGAAGCGTAAACATCTTTCTTTCCAATCCCGGGTTCAGAAGTGTGCCCAGCGGCAGTTCGTTTCGAGCCTTTTCACAAAAAGCAACGTTCCTCTGTTTCACGTGGGAAAACGAGCTGTTAATGTCTCTCCATTTGCACAAGTGCCGATTGGAAGCCGCCAAGCGAGCCCTTCCTCATCGTGCCGCGGCAAGTTGGAACCGCCTGCGTCCGACCGCCACTATGTCCAAGTGATGTTTGACAAAAGCCGTAGACTGCCAGCATCGGCGCGAATACAGGCACCGCGCCACGATTTCACGCCCCAAAAGTGACACGATTTCTGAACACCTGATGAACCTCACCAAGCGGGTGAAACTATCTCACAAGTTCGCACTTGAGGCCTCCCGCCAGCGTCACGCTCGCAGCAAGAGACTTTTTGACAGAGAATTGACTATGTACTACTGTCAGGCCGGCACTGTCGTTTATCTTCTTAGGAGCGTGGCTCCACGTGAGCAGTACTACAAGTTTGTCCGGGAATGGAAACCTGCAGTGATAATTGTCAAACTGTCTGACTTAAGCTCAGGGTTGTGTTGGGAGGTGAAAAGCCCGTTGTTGTTCACCACATTAGACTAAAAAACCTGACTCAACTAGCCCTTATTCCCCGCCATAAACCCTGATTAGACTATTCCTGACACAGCACTGTTGTCATTTTGTTCCGAGGATAGCATGTATTCGCCGTATTCGTCAGGTACCACAGTTACCACAGTCGCCAAACTGGGCGACGCATTTGGGCGACTCGTACACATCTTCGTTCGATCGGGACTCTTCCCCGGTCGGCGGAGGGTCGACAGAGGCTTGGCGGCCTCGGCGGTAATGGTGGAGACTTCAACGCCGCTCTCCGCATCGCCGCCTGATCGTCCCATGCGCCTGCCATATTCTACGAGGTGATCTCAGTCCGAGGAGATGGAAAAATGCCTCTGTCTGCCCTTGCTCCGGTTCCGGCTGCGCAACGTTCTGCTAGGGCCTCAAGACCCTAGCAGAACGTTTTTTTGCGTTTTTTACGTTTTTTTACGTTTTTATCCGTATTTTTTTGTTAATGGCCGTAAACTATAAAACGTATAATGTTCGATGTAAGATGTAACGTGTCTTGTTTGTTTGACTGACGTGAGGGCTTGTAGTCTCAGGTGTGCTACCTGCGCATGAGTTGTGAATGTCATGTCTGGTAGCGCTGAAGCGGGCCTGTCAGGGTCGCGTACAGTCATTGACCATTGCCCTGCTTACGGGACACTGTACGCTTACGCGTTCATACGCCACTTGTGGGCTCGCACGAGATGTGTATTCTGTCTCCTGATCACCAACTTAACCCCATGCTAGATGCGTGTTGCACGTTAACACGCGCCCGGGTGACCGGTTGGATACCCTTCACTTGGGTGGGGGTCACTTTGACCCCCTTGAGATCTTGATGTGATGCACAGAAACACTTGCCGCTTCATGCACACAGTAAATGGACCATGCACTTTCAATTAAAACCAAAAAAATCGCATTT